CAAATATGTGGCATTAAGTGAAAATTGTATTCTAACAAAAGAAGATTGAGAAAGTAACTGATTGTGTTTAAAATGAAGTTCTGAAGTTCTAATGATAAGCTATAACTTGAGAGTAGGGGGGAAGTTTAGTAATTTCAGTAGTAAGGCAAATATTTCCTGTCATGAGCGGTTGTCCAGCAGTATCGTGAACATATAGGTCATTAATTTATAGATATTTATTTTGAAATTTATAGAATCTATGTTCGAATCTTTACGGTGTCATGAAGGACGCATACTGCGGAAGTATTACGAAAATAGAATGATATAGCAACTCGGTTTCCTTCTTGTTCTCAATAATACACTAACTGCTAACGCTGGCAGCGTATGTATATATATGAGTTTTAAAACTATTGAGACCTGGAAGCACTAGACAGCTGCCTAATCCTAGTATTGGACTCCTCATTATTGCACACAAAAAACAGCACCGTCGGCGATCGAACGTGAGACGCGTTAAGTTAGTGCCTTAATATTTTCATAAAAACAAACGTAGTCAATATTTAATCTCTAGTTATAAGAAAAGAATTATCCGATTCCATGATAAATTTATAATTTCCATCACTGATTGAATTCAGTTTGATAATTGGTAGATATCATTATCGCAGATCAACAATACCACTATATTATTTTGATTGATATCATGAACTAATTGAAAACCTGGAAACACTGAACGGCCGTTTCATCCTATTGTGGGGCTCCTCAGTGGCGATGCGCATCCACGTTCCCGCCCGCGGTATTTAAACACAGGACCTTCAGTCTCGCACGCGAACGCTTACTCTACTCGATCACTGAGCCGGCACCCAATGTTTTTAATGTCTACCCTCAACCAATCCACGAAGTTGCGCGACCAACTTCCAATTGTACTGAGGTAGATACCTGTCTCTACCCAACACGGGATCGTGGATGCGCACTGCCACTGAGGAGTCCCACAATATGACGAAACAGCCGTTCAGTGCTTCCAGGTTTCTTACAGTGGTCTAACACCAATCAGTTCATGATCTCAATCAAAAAAATTTAACAATCTCCACAACCCCTAAACTGATAATACCACTATATGTTAAAACCATAACAATCATGTATAGAAGTAAGGCGTTAATCTTTAAACCATTAGCTTGCAGTGATTGGTTTATACGTTTAATTTCAGTCAATTCGTGATGTTATAAAATGATAGATTATAGAAGTTGATAATGTTTTTCTCATACCGACATAATTAAATTTAAATAATCATAGATGAGCACTTCTGATGAGTTCAAAAATAGGACGAAATGATTATTCCGTTACTTTTTATTATCTATAGTTAGTTAGTGATATGAAGCTGTAAAGTCAACAATTTAAAAAAAAGTTGTTCTCACATTAGCTAATAGTCTATATATTTGATATGCCCTGGTACGACCGAAGGAAGAGACAGAGAAAGAGAGAGTCCACTCTCTTTCTCCAAATATACTCACATGGCCACACACATATATAGCCACTGACAGTGAAGTCATGATCATCATCATCATCATCATCATCATCATCATCATCATCATCATCCAAATCATCATTATCACATTGAATTAAACATATGAAATTAACAGAATAGGGTTTTTTGTAGATATCATAATAATTTTAATAGTTGAAATTCTGAGTTAATTAAAGCTTAAATACCATGGAAAATCTGAAAACAGTAGATGGTTGTTTCGTCCTTATGTAGAGCTCTTCAATAGTAATCGTATTTCTTTCATTTTCATCATAATTAATTATTAAAAAAAAATGGTTAGTTTACTTCATTAACTATTCATCATTATCAAGGTCAAATAAAATCATTTATGAACCAATATGAAACATGAATCTTATTCTGTAAAACGATTAACAATAAAGGGTATGGTTACCTTAAAAGATATAAAACTATACTTAATAGTAAACAAGCCTTAAGTTACTGTTTGTTTGTTTGTTTAAACCAAATAGATAATCCTAATGGTCATGATCTAATTTGCCGCTTGTTTTTTTTTCTTATGGTAAACCTTCATGAGGTCATAACACTATCATTCATTACAGGTAATATTAGGGATATATGAATATAACAGGGTGACAGAAGTAGAAATTTTCACATATATACCCCATATGATTGAATAAGATTGATTCTCTAGAGATTTTCCCATCTTAAATTTCCCAGAATTATTTATTCTAAAAATGAGATATCATTAAAGGTCAATAATAAAAGGTAAATATTCATTTAAGGCAGTTGTGTTGTTTATGAAATTGTGAGGACGAAAAGTGAATGTCCGACGTTTTAATCGGGTTTGATAGACATGGAGAGTTCACCTAGAAGAGTTGGAAAACTCTCATTCCAAACCAATGGTGCACATGGGCTGATTCCAGTATCCTGAGGGAACAAATGGCGTATCAACCAATCGTCTGTCACTGGCTACCATGGAACTGCATCTCTTTACGTTGCTTTATTGTCTTGTGAATCAGATCTCTAGGTGATTGGCTCATGGAATGACCTCTTAAGAAAATCACCTGCTTCAGTTTGGGCACCCGGCCCTCATATACATCAAATGATTTATGTGGCACATATTTATTTAGTGCCTCTTTGTACCAATATCTATGTGTTTAATTAAATAAATAAATAAAGTATCAATAATAATAAGTAGTAAATAAGTAGTTCGCTGAGTTACCAGATTTAGATCAATATTAACTTGATCAATGAGTATACTACTCATATCATCCAAGTTATGGGTTCAAATTGTAACGAATTCATGACATGGCTCTCTGTTGAAGTGAGATGCTGAGGATATGTATATACTAGCAAAGATTGATAAAGAAGATATTCATCCTGAATATCTACAAGCGAATAATTCAAACCAATACTAAGAATGGTTAAAAAGGTTATACCTATGAAGTTTAGGAAGTCGCACATCATCAATTAAAGCTAAGGATGGATACTTGGTCCGAGCCTCAGCAAGAACATCAGTGCTGACATGCGAATAGGAAAAAAAAGAAACGCACGTTATGGATCTTATTACTAACCACAAATCATCTGTTTTAAAGAATATTTATATGTCTATGGAGAGATTGAATCACTGTATTACTCTCATATTACGGTGTGGGTTAGTTATATCCACACAAGTAGTATATAATGGTGGTCAGGCATAGAATGTATTTCAGTAGAAGGTCAATGAGGAAAGAATGGCAACGGAACGCAATTGATATGAAAATGCATGAACAATGAAATCTGAGACAATGGATTGATGTTTACTACAGGAATAGTCAAGTTTGAGATGATGGATTAATATTCAGTTTCACAAGTTGAAATCATGAATCAATTGAAGCTAGACCACCATGGAAAACCTGGAAGCACTAGACGGCCGTTTCGTCCTCGTATGGGACTCCTCAGCAGTGCGCATCCACGACCCCGCACCTTGTGGGGTGAAATTTCTAAAAATCTTCACAAAACCCATTCTGACAATAATATTTATTTCTCAGATTTTAGTGAGGTGTTCTGTAATTTCGTACTGAAATATAATCGATTGTTCCTATTGGTGTTCTTGTTCACTGAAATATTTGCTTTCCAATAATCAATATCAAACTATTGATAGCTAGTTCATCTTGAATCTAACTTACACCTCAATTGATTGATTGAAGTAATCTTAATTTGATGACAAGTTGTCATTAAACACTTGAAGAATATGACTTAATGAAAGATGTTTAATCAGTAGTATGTATGTTGTCAGATGAAATAATGTAACAGTGATTTACTGTATACTGGTAGTAATCATCTAAACCTGTGATCATTGAAGCCGCACTGTAATGGGTGTGTGAGACAGTTACTTAATAATGACATTTAGTTATGATTACAAATGTTGAGATCTAACTGAGGTTGAAAATATGAATCATTCGAAACCAACTCAATGATCTAAAGGTTATGAGCTCTCAGTGATACCTAAAGAATATAGGTTCCATCTTCGAGTATGGTTATAAATGCGGACTTCAGAGGAGTTTCATACATAGAAGAGTCAACTGTTCAATGCTTCATTACTTTTAGTAGTTGTTTAACTATGATCATTCCGTGATGTAAACGTTGAAATGATTCACTTCTTTCTGTTACTTAATTTTTGCAATTTCAACAGATCAAAATATTATTCTGAATTGACCTTAACCATTCAGTGTGAAGAGGGAGGTTGATTATGAACACAGTGGTTTTGAGTGCCGTTAGAAGTATGAGGGCGGTTATCACTTTCCGATTGCCCACACTATGGAAGAGTTCTTCTGGAGGTACCTGAAAAGGAAATTAGATTAGAGGTGGTTTTAGTGACCCAAGGGCGTGACCGCAGTGCCCAAGGGACAACTTCTTAAGGTCGGTCACACATGAACTTTATGTGAGTAGTTTTAGTGTTAGCTCCGTACTTGTTGAGATTTTACCGCCGGAGACGGATATCCGTGGGATAAGGCGAGGTGTGCATTTTTGTGGTCAACTTTTTCTAATCCTACCCTTCTTTGTGGGAAGGTAGCATCGCTGTTATGCTGGTCGTCTGAAGCAAACAGCTTACTGCCGTCACACCATTCAGTGTACAAATGATATATACATTCAAGTAACTCAAAGACTACACATTGAAACACTATTGCATGCTTTAATTTGTCATTAGGATATAGTTTTATTATACATATAAGATACATATCACTGTCTATTAAACTTCCTATTCTTTTTCAACAGAATGGAGTTTGTGGAGTTTGTAGTAATTTTAATAGTTGAATTCATGAGTCGATGTAAACTAGATCACCATTGAAAACTTGAAAGCATTGAACAGATACATATTGCTGAGGAATTCTATACTAAGACGAAACGGCCACCTAATACCTCCAGGTTATCAACGATGATCTAGTCTACGTTGACTCATGAACTCAACTAGTAGACTTCATATTTTCTGGTTATATTCAATTTGTTTTGATCTTTACACAATCGTTGATTTATACTGTTTCAGTTGTCAATATGGTGATGATCAATGTACAATTAATGATTTTATCTCAATATTTACAACACATGGATGGTGTTATCAATTTCATTTGAATTTTTCTAGAAGTAAGTGATATTTTAATGTTTTGATTTTACTTTCTTTATATTAAAATTAATATTGGATGCCGACTCAGTGATCCAGTAGGTTAGGCGTTTGCGTGCGAGACTGAATGCCCTCTGTTCGAATCCCGCGATGGGGGATCATGGATGCACACTGCCGAGGAGTCCCTCAATAGGACGAAACGGCTGTCCAGTGCTTCCAGGTTTTCAATGGTGATCTAACATCATTCGGTTCATGATCTCAATAAAAAAGAATATTGAAACGTTTGTTTTTCCTGAATTTAAATTTTGGTAGTGAATTTTCTGATAGAGAATGTTTTCCAGTGACTTTATTATAATATAAAAAAGACTGCTATGGAAAACCTGGAAGCACTGTTTGATGGCCGTTTTGTTCTATTGTAGGAGTCCTCAGTAGTGCGCACCTACAACCCCGCCCCTTCCGGCGAAATTCGAACCCAGGACCTATCAGTCTAATGCGTGAGCACTTAACCACTAGACCACTGAGCCGGCATCCGACGGTGTTGATGTCTGACTTCAACTAATCTATGAGATCGAGCGACACATCCACCATTGTCATCATGATCTCAACTACTGAAATTAATTTGTTATAAGTTATCTTCAATAGTTATATTATTTTCAGTCATTCAGAACAATTTGAGAGTACATAATCAAAAACCGGCAAGTTATTAAATATGTAGATTTAATTATATAGTTTTTGATCATTTAAATCATGAACTGATTTTAACTAATCCATGACTGAAAAATTGGAAGCCCTAAACTGCCGTTTCTTCATAGTATAGAACTTGTCAACGGTATATGTCGACCACCCGGTTGATGAGTTCTATACTGGAATGAAACAGCCGTTTATTTCATGGTTTCCAACGGTAATCTAGGTTAGATTGGTTCATGACATAGACTATAAAGATTCTATAATATCTACAAAACTCACTGAATTGTAGTTATATGTGTTTAAATTTAAGTCAATAATTACACATATAATCTCAATGTGAATTGAGATCCATCAGAAGCTCCCAGCTTATAGTTAAGGACTTTTTCATCAAACTGTTTATAACTCTTTTGGTGTTCATCATAAACAAATTTCGTATATTCACTTGATATTGTTTTACTTGAATCTTCTAATTCATGTTTTAGGACTGAAATTGATCAGTCTCTTATTAGCATATGTGCATACTGTGCGTATGCCTCGATATTGCCTTAATTTACAAGCATAATTATTGGCAAAGATGGATAGTGGCTAGCAGTGGAATCCAGGACGCGCGTTTCGTCCTGTTTGGGACTCATCAGCTGGATGTACCTGCATCTCAGGGTTGATGTTCACTCTGGGACTCGAACTCAGTACCGTTCGCTTCAAACGCCATCGCGTTATCTACTCAGCTACTACTGAGTCCTCATAGCCACTTACTTGTGCAATAGGATGAAGTTTAATTCGTTTGGTATTGTTTTACTTGAATCTTCTAATTCATGTTTTAGGACTGAAATTGATCAGTCTCTTATTGGCATATGTGCATACTGTGCGTATGCCTCGATATTGCCTTAAATTTCGTATATGTTTACATCATCTGATAGTAAGTATGGTTATATTCAGTGTTAGGTTCTGACAAGTATAATGAATGGTAACTTTTAGGATCCATTTATGGATTAATACTCTACGCACATTTTCATCGTATCATATCATAGAACAAGTCAGGATTATTTAAAAATGCATCGTAATAATCGATAAATTATATCACTTCAATCACACTATCCTCAAGTTTAACTTAAGTTGAGGTTACTGAAAAGATTCACTACAGGAAGCTGATTGTTTCCATTCCTTCATGGTCTGGATAGGTTGTTTGAATCAATCATAATGCCTTGCTTACTTACTTCTGTTACCCCTCAATCGAACATAGGTCACCGACCAGCATTCTCTAACCCACCCTGTCCTGGGCCTTTCTTTCTAGTTCTATCCAATCGTTGTTTATTCTTCGCATGTCTGTCTCCATTTCTCGAAGTAATGTGGTTTTAGTCTTCCTCTTCTTCTTTGGCCCTCAGGATTACAAATGAGTAGGAATCCTCAGGACCAAATACAATGACCTTGTCAAAAATTCAGACCGCTTAGTTGTAGACACTATTTCGTGAACTAGTTAAAAGATGAGTGATGACTTGAGGTCTACTAATCGTGAATTAAAATTCCTTGTAAGATTGATGATTTCCGGTGTGATGTATGCCAATTATACGGACAGATATAAGTAGTATATAGTTGGGATAAGAAGTGGGATGCTTACTAGCAGAAGAATGAACTAGAGAGAGGAGGAAGGAAAACAGAGCGATAATAGAATTAAAAGAATAATAGAGTATGTAAAGAAAAAAAACCAAAGAAGAGGTCGAAACGATGTATTTAATGTATGATTTCCACCATGTCTTCTTTTACTACATCGTTACTGAAGAATCCATTACTAAGTTGATTTTCGTTGTCAATGGTATCTCAACCAATGATATCAATAATGATAATCGCTTTTCAGTACCATATTTTGATTATATTCATTACAAACATTCTCAGTACAGACTATGTAAAATCGCAATACAAAGTTGAGTTTTAGTGTAGTGAATGGGATGCGATTCTCCCAATCGAAATACAGAATGTTATTTCAGGATTGGGTTGTATCGACACTCGAACTAATGATAGGGAGTGAAGTAGTTGAGCGTGTCGACCGCTTCACTTATCTTGAGAGTTTCATCAGCTCTAGTGGTCTGGTGTGTGACGAAATCTTAGCACAGATACAGAAAGCTCGACTAGCTTTTGCCAACTTGCATTATTTATCGCGCAGGTGCATCCACACTGTGTATTATCCCGAATTCCAATCTCCTGAATTTGTCATGTCCCGCTCTTTTGTTCCTCTTTCCAAATTTATTTCATTAGATTATACTCCTTGAATAACATCGTCAAACCCTAATGTTTTCGATTACTGTTTATACTCTTACTACCTCTATCACTATGTGGTTTGAATCGACAATTGTATCTCTGTGATAATGTGATATGGCAACTCGATCTGTACGTACGAACGTACGTACGAAGTTCTACATTGTTACTGACTGACTGACTGTAGTAAATGAGAACAGCAGTGGGAACAATCAAATGTATTTCAATAGAACATTGCAGAAAATCTTGATAAAATCAAAGACTTTGTTGTTCCTTCGTTTCCATATCAATCACTCATTGTTCCGTGTTCTCTTCTCTTCGATTTCTCTCAATCTTCTGCTTTAAGGCATTCAACTTTCGATTGCTGATACATGCTATTCATATATCTGTCAACATCAGCAGCATGCACCATAAAAATGTAATCATTCAGAAAACACATTGAGAAAGTTTACTTAAAAAGTGACTAATTGTCAAACACATATATTTGTAATTGTTTGTAATCAATCCCATACACACGAATAAATGCAGATGAGGATAACTAGTGTAGCATCAGCTTCTACTTTAGTAGGCCTCAACATACACAGGGGGAAAACCAATGTTCGCAAATACAACACGGAGAATGCCAACACAACCATACTTGGTGGAGAAACTCTGGAAGATGTAGAATCCTTCGCATACCTGGCAAGCACCATCGATGAACAAGGAAGATCAGATTCAGACATGAAGGCGAGGATTCGCAAAGCATGAAGCACATTACTACAATTGAAGAATATATGGAACTCAAAACAACTGTCTATCAACCAATACCAAAGTGAGAATCTTCAATACGAACATCAAGAAAGTTCTAATGCGCGGAGCTGAAACGTGGAAAGCTAATACAACCTGCATCAAGAAGGTACAAGTATTTATAAATAGTTGTCTACGCAAGATACTCAACGTCCATTGACCGATACCATCAGCAATAGGCTTCTGTGGGATAGAACAAACCAACTTCCAGCTGAAGAAGAAATTCGGAAAAGACGATGGAAATGGATTGGACATATATTACGGAAATCATCAAACTGTATCACGAGACAGGCCCTAACTTGGAATCCTGAAGGGAATTTGAAAAGAGGAAGGCCAAAGAATACATTACGTCGAGAAATAGAAGCAGATATGAGAAGGATGAATAGAAGCTAGAAGGAGCTGGAAAGGATTATCAAGGATAGGGTTGTATGGAGAATGCTGGTGAGCGGCCTATGCTCCTTCACGAGAAGTAACAGGCTAAAGTAAGTTGTAATCAATTCCATTAACGTGACTTTTATTCTCATATCTCTTCTATATCATTGGATATATATATGTTTCAAAATCTTAAAGTTACCAATACTGTCTAGTGGGTTCAAGCTCAAGTTATCCCGTTCCGTAGCCTGACACATTACCATCGAGTCATTCAGTCTAATACTGGTTACATCAAGATATTTTAATGGATTGATCATTGTAAAGTAACCCATTTCATGTTTATTTAGTTCATTTCAATCCAAATGGTTCATTCATCCCTCTATGATTTCATTTCATGATAGCTGCTGAATTGAAATTAATATTGGATCCACAAGAATATGATTACATAATACCAAATAAAGGTTATGTTGGATTTTATTTAACTGTACAAAACCAAAATTGTTCACCTAAGCAACAATTCAATATGGATAATAAAGATCAATCTATTATTGTGGGACCAAAGTTTCATTCGTATATTAGTATACAAGTAAGTTATTAAAATTATATTCAGCTTACTTATATATTGAGTCAAATAAATTGATAAAGGATAAGTTATGGTATGGGCCTCATATGTTAAGTAAGAACTAGAACGAAACTTACAAATGATTCAATTTCAACTAATCAACAAAAATTGCGCTACCGTCACCATTATCATCAGTGAGCTGATATCTCACAACAGACCTGGTTGAATTTCACTGGTCACGGCTTCTCACTAGAACTCCAGGAGTGTGTCTTGAAGTCAGTCACTAGTGAGCATATGATGATTATTATCAGAAGCAGTTTTGTGGAGATTGTAGTAATTTCACTAGCTTCAATTGACTCATAATTTCAACTAGTGAAATTTCTAAAATCTCCACAAAACCCTTTCTGATAATGATTCCATTGTTTATTTTCTGACTTAATGAAATACTTACTTACTCACGCCTGTTGCTCCTAATAGAACATAGGCCGCCGACCGGCATTCTCCAACCCGCTCTGTCCTGTACCTTATTTTCTAGTTCTATCCAATTGTTGTTCATTATTCTCATGTCTATCTCGATTTCTCGGCGTAATGTGTTCTTTGGTCTTACTCTTTTCCTTTAGCCTTGAGGATTCCATGTGAGGGCTTGTCTTGTAACGCAGTTGAGTGCTTTCCTCAATGTGTGTCCTATCCACTTCCAGCGTTTCTTCCTGATTTCTTCCTCCACTGAGATCTGGTTTGTTCTTTCCCATAGTTGGTTGTTGCTAATAGTGTCCGAAGTATTTTGCATAGACAACTGTTAATAAACACTTGTATCTTCTGGATGATGGCTTTCGTAGTTCTCCGCTTGGAGTCCCTCCAGGGGCTACTGCCGGTCCCAAGCCCGGATATACGAGGAGGGTTAGGCATGGGGTTAGCGACCCTATCCCGTAGAAAACTAACCCGCTAAAAAAACACTAACCAGAAAAAATTAATGAAATACAATATGATAGAAACCTTTCATTATACAAGAATATCAGTGAGAACAATCAAATCTATTTCAATGATAACACTACAAACTTTGTTATTTCATCATTTTCATACCAGTTATTCTCTGTTCAATATTCTCTACTGTTTGATTTCTCTCAATCTTCTGCTTCGAGGCATTTCATTTCCGATTAATGATACATACTACTTATATCTGTCGATATCAGTAGCACACAACATATGATAACTAAAAATGTTTGCTAGTATATAAGTTGTGGAGATTATTAAGTTTTTGATTGAGATCATGAACCGATTGATGTTAGACCATCACAATTGAAAACCTGGAAGCACTGGACGGCCGTTTCGTCCCATTGTGGGACTCCTCAGCAGTGCGCATCCACGATCCCGCGAGCGGTTTTCAATTGTGATGGTCTAACATCAATCGGTTCATGATCTCAATCAAAAACTTAATAATCTCCACAACCTATATACTAGTAATCAACATGTGCTCACTAGTGACTAGCTTCGTGAGGGAATTCTCGGAGTTCTAGTGAGAAGCTGTGACCAATGGAGCTAATCCATGTCGGGTAGAGACAGGTATCTACCTCAGTACAACGGAAGTTGGTCGCGCAATTTCGTGGATTGGTTGATGTTAGAAACTGTCACCATTGGATGCCGGCTCAGTGGTCCAGTTGGTTAGGCGTTGGGCCCTGGGTTCGAATCCCGCTCGCGGGATCGTGGATGCGCACTGCTGAGGAGTCCCACAATAGGACGAAACGGCCGTCCAGTGCTTCTAGGTTTTCAGTTGTGATGGTCTAAGATCAATCGGTTCATGATCTCAATTAAAAATGTTTGATTACCATAAATGTAATCAGATCAATGAGAGTTGATTACCTCATTATATATTACTAATTAAGGAGGATAGATACATACAAATGTTTATATATCTGAAAATGAATACAAATCAATAAAGATTTTATTATGAATGACATCATCTATGGAAGCTATACAGTCTTATTCAAAGCGATTTAACAAATATGATAATTTCAATGGTTAAGATCATGAGTCAGTTGAAGCTAGACCACCATGGATAACCTGGAAGCACTGAACGGGCGTTTCGTTCTATTGTGGGACTCCTCAGCAGTGCGCATCTGCGACCACGCCCTCTGCGAGATTCGAACCCAGGACCTACTAGTTTCGCGCGCGAGCACTTAACCACTAGATCGCTGATTAAGAAGTATTAAGGTGAATATTTTGTTGTCATTTAGACAATGTTTGTTGATGGGCTGTCCACTTTAGTGGCCCGGGATCTGACTCCAACTTGACCATATGAATGATTATTATTGAAATATATAATAATAATAATGGATTTCGAAAAAAAAACTCATTTCTGAATCCTCTAATCACTTTCAAGATGAAATAACTCATTTACAATTAAATTATTCGTCTCAAACAACTTAATACTACCAAAATATTCAGAGTTGAATTTGATTGATCTCTGGTAGTATATAGGCTCCATGATTGGATATCTCGATAGTGGCCATAGTTACAAGAAAACATTATGTTATATTTGGTCATCGCAATTGTTGTGCCGGAAAACGCTGATCACTTATACTCGAAACGAGAGACTTCGGTAATTCCCACGATGCGAAGGTAAGAACACAAGACTGGTATAAGTGAAGATTTACTAGCCCCAAACACTATGACGACGACGAATCGAATCTGGTCTCAAATACACTGGTTTATATAATGATTGTACACCCATTTTGATTAATAATTAAGATTAAATCACATACTCAGTTATAACAAATCACAGACTCAGCATAGTTCATGTCAATGGAATACAAGAATATCGTATATTATACAGAAGAAAATATTATACTGGGAAAACAAATCAAATACTACACTGAATGATCCTCATGTTGAATCAAAACGGATGTTGAATGTTGAATCAAACTCATAATGAGTAAATCAATCTAAAATTAACTTTTCTTTCCATCATATCACGGCTACCATAGGATTGCGTCTCCTCATGTTGTTCCACTGCCTTGTGGATCAGACCTTTAGGTCGGAGGTTTCGAGCGGGGTCCTCTAAGGGAACCACCTGTTTCAGTCTGGGAACCCAGGTAGTATCACAGTCCACACACAAATCAAGTGACTTGTGTGGTGCATATGTATTCGGTTCCCCTTTATAACAGCTTACTGTTTGAGAGAGAAAACAAGCTTCCAATTGAAGAGGATTTTAGGAAATTGATATTAGAGATGTATAAGACGTATATTGTGGATATCATCAAACTGCATCACTAGGCAAGCGCCTACTTGGAATCAAATTAACTCTAACCTGTTCTTTTTACATTTCTAATATTGATTTAGCAACAATATTTTGTCAGAAGTGGAAATCATTTTGGAACAAAGATTAAAGGTTAGTTTTGTTTAAACTGTTTACTGTTACAAATTTGTTTATTTACATTTTAATGTGTTGGTTAGTAACATTATTGGTTTACAGTCAATAACAAACTAGATAGATAGATTTGTGAAACTCATTGTTGTAGGTACCTTTGGTCTTGTACATTAACGCTTCACTTCTGTACCACGGATCCAATATCCGCTGATACACAAGTTTTACTTCACTTAATTGAATATGTTACATTGTTTTCTATGGTACCTTCAAGACATTTGACATTGCTGAACTTTGTTAGTCACGTCTTTTAATGAGGCCCCAAAAATTTATTCTCAAAACAAGTCCTTAGTGAGAACATGATAATTATCAAATTGGAGGTTATGGAAATTGCTTAACTTTATTAAGATAATCAGTGGATCCAGATTAGTATTCTGGAAGTGAAGCGTTGATATGCAAGACCAAAATGTTTCTACATTTGATCATCGATGGCGGAGTCGTTGATGTATACAACCACTGAAGAGTCCAATACTAGAACGTGAAAACTATCTAGTGATTTCAAATTTTGATCAGTGCTTCTTTTTAAGCCTCTATAAACTATTTTTAATTATTTCATAAATAATGTTCTACCTACTGTTTGCAGCTAATAACAAACCTTAGAATGGAACGAATCTATTTGAGTCTATTAATCCTGTTGCTTTTGCTTTGCTTAGATTTATCAACGGATTAAGTTGCATCAGTCAGTCAGTCAGTAACAATGTAGAACTTCGTACGTACGTACATCAGTTCGAGTTGCCATACCACATTATCACAGAGATACAATTGTTGATTCAAATCCCATAGTGATAGAGGTATTAAAAGTATAAGCAGTAATCTAAAAGTTTATGGTTTGAAGATGTTATTCAAGAACCATAGTCCAGTAAAATAAATTTGGAAAGAGGAAGAAAAGAAGGGGACATGAAGAATTCAGGAGACTAGAATTCGGGAGAATACGCAGGGTGGATGCACCTGCGCACATCATTGCAAACGATTTTCAGCCATGTCATTCAAGGTCTCTAACCATCGGTTGTTATCGTCTCGTAGATCCCAACCAGATAGTCTACACCTAGCAACATGACTCAGTTCACTTGTCAGTGACTTCATGGATTTGTGCCATGTTTTGATCTGGCGACCCCTAGCTTTCTTCTAACCTACTCCTACTCCTACACCACAAAACATAGCACGTCTGGGCAGTCGGTGGCTGAGCATACGTAACATGTGTCCCAGCCATCTCAACTGATAAAGTTGTATGGAAAAAACGAGATAGATTTATATTATTAGTAATAATAGGAGATTTCTCAAAAGTGTTCAACGTGTAGTCTACTTGATAGACTGACTTTAGTAAGATAACTATTGGATGACAAATAAATAGTTAGAATGTTTACCGTTCAATGCATTGACTAGAAGTTTTATGTTCGATCCCTGTTTGAATCATGGTTGAACATTGTTATTCAGCCTTATACTAAGATGGATTAGCTACTAGTCCCCACCTGTTGTCAGTGATTATCTAGCTACGGTCAGTCTTTGATGTAAGTTACAGATTTTGTTTTCGTTTTTTAACGGATTATCAATCCATACAATTGCATTGTAATTTTTATTGTACACAAAACTGTTTTTACATTTAACAGATATTTGCCCAGCATTTAATATACAATCAGTTGTACAACTAGAAAAGCTTCCAATCCAAATACGTTTATTACAGAAATTCAATACGAATTTATTCAAACGAAACGGTACTGTAGTAAGTTTGATCACATAGAATTAAACTTACTTACTTACTTACTTACGCCTGTTACTTCTCGTCGAGGAGCACCAGCGGCCACCCACCAGTATTTTCCATCTAACCCTGTCATGGACAATCCTTACTAGTTGTTTCCAGTTGCTATTCATCTTTATCATGTTTGCTTCCGATTCACGATGCAATATGTTCCTTGGTCTTCCTTTTTCCTGCATACCTTCAGGATTCCAAGTCAGGGCTTGCCTCGTGATGCAGTTTGATGATTTCCACAATGTACGTCATATACACCTACAATGTCTTCCCCTAATTTCATCCTCAATTAGACGCTGGTTCATTCTCTCTTACAGTTGGTTGTTGCTGATGATTACCAGCCACGAACATTGAATAACTTGAGTAGACAACTGTTTATAACTAATTGTACCTTCTTGATGATGTTTGTAGTAGTTGTCCAAGTTTCAGCTCCATACACTAGAATTGTCTTGACGTTTGTATTGAAGATTCCCCCTTTGATATTGGTTGGTAGATGGTTGTTTTCAGTTCCGTATGTTCTTCAATTGTAGAAATGTTCCTCTTGCTTTGCATCAGATCTTCCTTGTTTGTAGACGATACTCCCTAGATATGTGAAAGATTCCAACTCTTCCAGAGTTTATCCATTACGTGTGACTGAGTTGGTGTTCTCTGTATTGTGTTACAGTATCATGGTTGTTTCTTTGTGTATCTTGAAGCCTACTGATGTAGAGGCTGCTGTTAATTTGTTTGTCTTGACGTTCATTTGTTGATCTGTATGAGATAGAAGGGCTAAGTCATCTACAAAGTCAAAATCGTCAACTTCCATCCCAGTTGTCCATTTCATTCCGTGCTTCTCGTCAAATGCGGAGGTCTTTATAATGCAGTCAATCATGATAGGTAAGAGAAAGAGGGAGAGTAAGCAGCATTGTCTAATTCCAGTCCCCACTTGGAATGCGTCTGTCATTTTTCCTCCATGCACCACATTACCGTGTAATCCATCATATGAATTCTGGATGATGTTGACGATTTTACAGAATTAAACACTAAGAATTTATCCACCACAATGTCAATAATAACTTAAATTAAATATCAGCTATAAAATAGTTTTAGCCTCCTTGATTATATTCATCACATATCGACCTCATTTGAAATTTATTAACAACCATGAAGCACATTTCTGTTGCTTAGTCGTAGTACGAGACTCCTCAGGTATGCTCATCCATGACTCAACCGTGCATCAAACCCAAGACCTTCAGATCTAGCGGGGAACACTTGAACACTCGATTCACTAAGTCGATATCCATTAGTAAAATTACTGCTTCAATCAATTTATGATATATCGTCACAACTATCTAATGACATTGATAACAACTGTTTTACATTCTACATGTTTGGTTCTTATGGTAATCATTTCTTATTGAAATAATAAGAAACACATCAATGTCACATTCTAGCAGGAAGTTTATCAGTGTCATTGAGTTCTCTGAGCTGACTAATAACTTCAATGGCTACTTCATGTAGAATTACACTTCACAGTTACTGTACAAGTGTTAAATCAGTTAGTTTTTAATAACTGACTCTTTACTAAGGTTTTGTTATTTACATTTGTGTTTTACAATCTTGTTTACTGCCTTTTACAATTGATCACGAACTCTTATAAATCGGGTAGTATACGCTAATGTATTCACTGATTCCCTATTGATTTGAAAGTCATGCTTTTGGAAATTATCTGTCATTCATTGTACAAATGAAAGTCGGTTTACATTCTTTATCGTACATAAGTAAGAAGTTGATGTTACTGCCCAAAAACGACAATCAAACCTCAAAGAACACAGTAATATTTCTTAGTCAATTAGTTACGTATTTCTAACGATGAGAATTATCAAACTATTAATTATATGGTATTCTTAGCAGTGAACACTAGTTCCATAACTAAAATGTGAACTTAAAATGTGATTCAAGGCAATCCGTACACCATGCACATATCCCAACATGAGACTGATCAATTGCAGTTCTAAATAACAATGAGAAGATACTAGTAAAACAATACCAAGTGAATTTAAATTTTCCCCCATTGCACAAACAGGTAGCTGTCAGGATTCAATAGCTAAGTGAAGTACGCGATGGTATTTGAAGCGAACGGCACTGTGTTGGAGTCCCGGAATGAACATCAACTCTGGGATGCAGGTACATCCAGTTGACGAGTCCCAACTAGGACGAAACACTCATCAAACTGGATTCCACTACAAGCCTCCATCCATCTTTGCTTAGAATGCTTGTGACTTAAGGCTATATCAAGGCAATCCGCACAGGATGCACATATGCTAACATGAGATTGATCAATTGCAGCAACACTAAGTGAATTTTTACATGACAATCAATCTGTTAAAAGAAGGATAGAAAGCGATCACGCTTAAACAAAGTATCGATTCCTTATTCAATGATATGATTCTAATCTTTTCATAATGTTTCAACAGATCACCGTTTTTTTTACAATTAGACCACCAATGATTATGCACGAATATATGTATATGTCACCTTAGAACAAATCGGAAACGCTTTATCATCATTTTCTGTTTAGAATATAAAGGTAATATAGAGAGAATTATAGATTAACAATATAGTGTAGTGTCAGTTTCAACTGGTCTTGGGAACAAATGTATTAACAGTTGAAATATTAGGTGAGAAAGGTACAACAAAAAAGAACTATTATTCTAAATGAAAAGATCTAATCACTAACAAACAGCATTATTATATTATGAATCTAATCTCTTATTATAAACTAAGATAAAACCCTAAAGTCTAATAGAGCTTTATATCGTTTATCGTCAACAATTTGTCATTAAAGTTATTGAGATCATGAATGGATCAGTGTTAGATTAACATTGAAAACCTGGGGGTACTGGATCCCCGTTTCGTCCTAATATAGGAGTCTTTATCGGTGTACATTCATGATCCAACGCACGGGATTCGAACACAGGAACTTTGGTCAGATACGTGGACTCTTAACCCAGCGGTGTTAATGCCTAGATTGAATCAGTGGATGATGAGTTGTGCAAGATCACGGATTGATTTCAATTAGACATTGAAACCATTGAATGTTAGCTCAATTATCTAGGGGTTAAGCATTCTCGCGTAAGACCGAAGGTTCTGAGTTCGAATTTCACATGCGGGTACTAGGTCCTATTTCCATTGTGAACATTAACAGTAGAATGCAAGTACATCCAGATGACGAGTCCTGTATAAGACGAAACGCATTCTCTACATTTCATTGGTAGTCAGATTTTATCTATTTTGTGTAAACTTGTGTTTCATAATTTTTATAAGCAAAGATAGATAGGGGCTTGCAGTGGAATCTAGGTACATTCATCTGACAAGTCCTAAATAGGACGAAAGGTGCGTCTAACTGAATTCCACTACTAGCTACCATCCATCTTTGCTTAGAATGCTTGTGAATTAAGGCAAAATAGAGGCAATCCGTACACCATACATATATGCCAATAAGAGACTCATCAATTGCAATCCTAAACATCAATGCAAAGATACAAGTAAAACAACACCAAGCGAATTGCGTTTCATAATGTTCGAGATTTATCCTTAAAGTAATTCTTTTCAAAATCTTTATGAAATCCAAACACACACCATATCAGTCACATACAATAATTGAGTCTAATAATCTAACATGGATTTATATTTATCATTTAAACATTATAAATGTTTATCTTCTAAATTCATGCATCACATAGCCACGTGTATAGAACTCCTGACTAGGAAACCTTACACATTTCTTTCTCGTCAATCTGTTGTTTAAGAAACTAAGACAATGAAAAGCGAGTGTTTGGAGCCTAAACGGGGCTGTTAGATATGAAGTTGGAAAAAACCCTAATTCCAAACCAATGTTAAACATCGACTTCAGGATTCTGAAGGAAAAAATGGCGTATGAACCTATTGTTCGTCAACGGCTACCATGATACTGAATTTCATGATGTTACTCTACTTTCTTGGTGATTAGACTTTTATGTTTTATTTATGTAAACGCATTAATATTGGTACAAGGATGCACCAAAAAGATATACGCCACATAAATCATTCGGTTTGTGTGAGAGCTAGGATACTGTCCGCGTGCTTAAACCGAAGCGGGTGGTTTTGATAGGGAGCCCCATCCTGAGCCTTTCACCTAAAGGTCTGATCCACAAGGCAGTAGAGCAACATCAGGAGATGCAGTCCCATGGTCGCCGGTGACCAACAATTGGTCCATACGCCATTTGTTTTCTTAGGATTCTGAAGCTCATGCACACTAGTGGTTTGAACTGAGGATTTTCAATCCCCCTAGATGGATCTTCTATATCTACGAACCTGATTAAAGCACCGGTTTTCATCCTGTCAATTTCGTAAACAACACCGCAGCAGCGAGAAGTCAGTAAGTAGAACTTCTTCGGCAGTGGCTGTATACGCGTGACCATATGAGAGCATTTGAAGAGTGAGACCAGATTCTCCTCACCCTCGACCGTACCAGGCCATTCGGAGGCGAGCTTTTCATTGAAGGCTTGGTGTGTGGCCCCCTGATTCAACCATCTACTTCGATCTGGCCACCTAGGCATTATCACAACTCATACACAATTCAAGTACATTATGTAGTACATGTGTATTCGATGCCCTCTTTAGATCAATATTTCTTCATTCAATGATATAAACATTCATATAATTGATTTCCATTTTCATTTATTCATTCATTCATTCAAAGGTTCAATATGGTATACTCTATCAACAGAAAGCATTATTACAAATTTATAATCGTACAGCTTATGATTTAATTAAAAATTTATCTAAAGAATTATATCACGCTAAATTATTAACAAAATTTACTATTCAATCTATTTGGAACTTATACAAGTACTTGAAATATTTCAATCCAATCAAATCCATTCATAATACGATTAATCATAATAATAATCATCATCATCATTGTTATACTAAAGTATATCAATTATTCACTTCAATTAGTAAAGATATTTTATCAAAGAATACTTTATCAATTATGGATCCAGATCAAGATCAACATCAAGATCAAGATCATGATGACGATGATCATCAACATTATCATCATGAAGAAAATCAATATTTTATATATAATCATACATTAGATCATATTGAATTACAATTAATTAATAGTTTTTTTGAAACAAAAGTAATTGTATCACCAAGTTCTTCATTATTACGTAAGATATTAACAGTGGTAAGTTAATTGATGTGTGTTGTGTATGCCTGAACACCGATTACCATAACGCGCAATGTTGACTAGTATAGGGGATGGTTAGAAGAAAGTTAGAAGTGGCCAAACCAAGATCTCTTTCAATTATTTATGATGTATGGATGAGAATATTCAGACTTGTAGATAGTCTGACAGGTGTTAGATGAGTTATATATTCTCCTACCCGTATTATTATTATTATTATTATTATTAACTGATGATGGATTGTTGATCACCGTTAGATTGTTGTCAGTGTTTAGTGTGGAAATATATCTACATTTTAGTTAGTCTAACTCTGAATTATGTTGGCATTTGTCAACTTACGTCACCGATGGCGAAGGTAAGATATCCATCTATTGATTAAAGGACGAGTATACTACGCAGCAGTTCTTTCTGTCCTACTTTACGGCAGTGAAACGTGGCCATTAAGAATAGAAGATACTTGTTAACTACTAGTATTTGATCATACATGTCTTAGAGATATTGCTCACATCTTCTGCGATCACCTGGTAAGTAATAGTATGGTTAGATGCAAGGTATTCGGGAATGACGGTAAATCAGTTGATGATGTGAATCTTTATCGACTGAGATGTTTGGGCTACGTGTTACGTATGTCTGAACACCGAATACCACAAAGCGCAATGTTGACTAGTATAGAGGAGAGAAAGTTAGAGGCGGCCAAACTAAAACGTGACATCAGTCCTTCAAGTCTGAGCCATGTTAGTAGATACAGGCTACTTGTTTGGGGTCCGCGTGACTATCGTAACCAATGGTTGGAGACTCTTGATGACATGGCTCAGAATCGATCACATAGACGTCAGTGTATACCCTCTTTCTACGAACTAATTCTTTCTTCCTGTACTATATCCTCATATGCAATCTTTCTTTTATATATTACCACCACTGAATTAACTACTTTTATCAATCCGGTATTAATTTTGTTGTGCTAATGAGGTATGGCAACTTGGGCCGATGCATATATGTGCCTTACTTACTTACGCCTGTTACTCCTAATGGAGCATAGGCCTCCGACCAGCATTCTTCAACCCCCTCTGTCCTGGGACTTCTTTTCTAGTTCCATCCAACTCTTGTTCATTTTTTTCATGTCTAATTCCATTTCCCGGTGTAATGTGTTCTTTGGTCTTACTCTTTTCCTTTAGCCTTGAGGATTCCATGTGAGGGCCTGTCTTGTGACGTAGTTGAGTGCTTTCCTCAATGTGTGTCCTATCCACTTCCAGCGCTTCTTCCTAATTTTTTTTTATTCATGGTCCAGATATTTTGATGTGACTACTTAATTCGCAAACTTTCGAAAACAAATAGATTCGAAATTAGATTTTAATTTTGAGTCGTTAACTACACCTGGAGTCCCTTCGGGAGCTACTGCCGGTCCCAAGCCCGGATAAATTAGGAGGGTTGGGCATGGGGTTAGCGTCCCCATCCCGTAGGAAACTAACTCGCTAAAAAAACGCTAGCCAGAAATATATATATATATGTGCCTAGTCCTACATTATAACTGACTGACTGAGAATAAACACACTAGAAAGGAATCTAGTGTAAATATTCATTTAATATAAATGAATATCCTATTTATATAAACATGAAAACCCGAGCCACCTCAAAATAGATTATGTAATATCATCTAGGCAACAATTTTTTTTTAATTTTAAATTGTATTACAACTAAGTTCATTTATTTTTTGATTGAGATCATGAACCAATTGATGTTAGATCACCATTGAAAACCTGGAAGCACTAGACAGCCTTTTCATCCTATTGTGGAACTCCTCAACAATGCGCATCCACGATCCCGCTAGCAGGATTCTAACCCAGGACATTCAGTTGCTCACGTGAACGCTTAACCTACTGAATCACTGAGCCGTCCAGTGCTTCCAGGTTTTCAATGGTGATCTAACATCAATCGGTTCATGATCTCAATCAAAAACTTAACAATCTCCACAACCACTATACTGATAAGTTCATTTATGTTTTCCCCCATAGTAACAATCGTTTTTATATTATATTATATAGGTTATGAAATTTCGTTATCTTCTATCAAATTATAGTAATTTATCATCTACAATTATATCTAATAAGAATAGATCATCCATGTCCAATATCAATTCATTTATGGATAATACTACTCAATTTAGATCACAATTTCATATCATGAATTGTAGTCATTTAATTCCATATTATAATGAACAAATGAATAAATGTGGTGAAACAGCTAGTGGTGCATTAACAAGATTAGATTATGTGAATTTACAATTACATAATTTAATTAAAAATAATCATTTCATACGTTTAATACATCCGAAACATTCTTATCCTTATACAGAATTATCTATATCAAGGTATGTTTTACATTCGTTTTTTTTTTGGTTGTTGATTGAGATCATGAATTGATTGATATTAGACCATCGTTAGGAACCTGGAAGTACTAGATGACTGTTTCATCCTATTGTGGAACTACTCAGTAGCGTGCATCCACGATCTTGTGTTGGGTAGAGACAGATATATACCTCAGTACAATGGAAGATGTTAGCGCAACTTCGTGGATTGGTTGAGTTTAGACATTAAAAGCATTGGATGCCGGCTCAGTGATTCAGTAGAGTAAGCATTCGCGTGAGAGACTGAAGGCTCTGGGTTCGAATCCCGCGAGCGAGACCGTGGATGCGCACTGCCACTGAGGAGTCCCACAATAGGACGAAACGGCTGTTCAGTGTTTTCAGGTTTTCAATAGTGATCTAACATCAATCGGTTCATGATCTCAATCAAAAACTTAATAATCTCTACAACCTTCATAATGATTATTTTTTCTAACTAAATGAAAAGGTTGATGTTTTAGACTATAGGTTATGTTGGTTATATGATGGGTACCTAGATTATTGTATGCCCGGATGGTGATCTTGGGAGGTTTCGGTTGCCTACTCTGTCAATGGTAGATGATAGGACTATGAATGATGCTATTGTTTTGTGCTAGGTTTGAAGAGAATTGTATGCCATATTCATGCGAATCTGCCTTGTTACTATTCTTATTTAGACCATCAAATGCCCTGACACTGCCGAGGGTGGTGAGAGTCTGTCCTTCTTCTCCAAATGCTCTTACATGGTCACGCGTATACAACCACTACCAGGGAAGTTCTACTCACTGACTTCTCGCGACCACGGTGTCGTTTTCAAAATTGAGAGGACGAAAAGCGAGTAATCGGTGCTTTAACCGGGTTGGTGGATATGGAGGATCTATCTAGAGGAGTTTGACAACCCTGATTCCCAGACCAGCGGTGCATATGTGCTTAATCAGTCAGTCAGTCAGCTACAACGTAGGACCAGGTACATATGTGCATCGGTCCAGGTTGTCATACCGCATCAGCACAACAAGATGAATACCGGATTCATAGCAGTGGTTAGGTCAAAGGTAGTAATATATAAGAGAAAGATTGCATATAGAGATATAGTACAAGAAGAAAGAATTGGTTCGTAGAAAGAAAGATATGAAGCGATTTTAATCTCATGGTTTGAGGGAAGACAGAGAGTGTATACACCGACGCCATTGTGATCGATTCTGAGCCATGTCATCCACAGTCTTCAACCATTGGCTACGATAGTCATGCGGACCCCAACCGACTAGTTTGCATCTACCAGCATGGCTCAGACCACAAGTCAGGGACTTCAAGCACTGCACATGTGTTCCAGGATCCTGAGGGAACAAATAGTGTATGAACCGATTGTTGGTCACTAGCTACGATGAGACTGCATTTCCTTACGTTGTTCCACTACCTCAACCTTTAGGTCGAAGGCTCCGGTTGTGTCCCCCTAAGAAAAGCACCTGCATCGGTCTGGGCACACGGATAGTATCATAGCTCACACAAATCAAGCGATTTGTGTGACCCATATGTATTTGGTGCCCCTTTGTACCAATATTCATGTGTTCAAATAAATAAATGAGAGCTAGTAATGCTACTACCATATTACCGTAACTGATATAGGTAACATAGGATTCGAATTTGAGGCCTTTCACTTGAACATTGTTAGTTTTCGTATCAACACAGTTTAATCACAATTGTGGTGAAGATATGAAATATCCATTAATTCTAGCAAAGTAACCGACTACAAAATTCATTCATATCAGCAAACAGAACAATTTAAGAAAGACAGAAATTATCTGGAATTCAAATTTTATGACTGAAATGAATGTGCCAAGATGATGTTTCTAAAGATTAAGATTTTGTAGACTTTCTTATATTTAGGCGATTACAGATGATATACTTCAATCAGGAGGATGCATTGAAGTAGATTAGTGATTAAATCGTTGAGGCTACAATTTATAGACGACCTTGGGGCAACGATAAAGTTAACTTAAGAGTGTCTACCTACTTACTAGGACTAAATGAGGATTATAAAGCAGTTTGAAGAATAAGGATTATGACTTACATTTGATGGTTAGGGTTAGGAATTAGATTTAGGGCTTTCATCACGAACTTACATCAGCTATAATACCAAGACTATTTAGCTAAATGGGTGAATGAATTTCGCGCCAACATTTAAGACCTGCTATCCTAAACCTGATTGTTTCGTCCATAAATTATAGTCTCGCCCTTTTACATTTGAACTGTTAACAAAAGAGAAGCCATACTTCCGAAAATTAGATTACATACAGAAAATATTGATATTTGTAGGACTATACTCAACCAAGAACATCGAGAAGCTTCTACAAAAGATGAAGAATTTGCCAATAAATTTCGATAGTTGCTTAATTAAAGTAATGGGATTTGTCCTGGAAGATACTGAGGAAAGTGAGTTAGTGAGAACTGTCTGAACATTTTCCCCGTTTTCTGGAGAATGTTTCAAATATTTACCACGAACCGGTAACACATAATATATGATAGTTAAAACCGTGAACTGATCCAGGCTAAAAGAAAACCATTGGAAACCAAGGATTACTATACATCAGCTTCGTTCTGTTATGGGACATATTAACAGTGTATATTCACAACTTAAACACATGGAATCAAACCCAAGATATTTGATCTCAAGTCAGAACCATTATCCAATGATTTGCAAGTATAACCTAAGTCAGTTTATGACATTGCGCGTAATGCTGAGGAGTCCAACAACGGGACGAAACAAATGTTCAGTGCTTCATAGGTTATAATGGTGGTTCAGCTAAGATAGATTCGTAATCTTAACTACTTCTATGAATCCGATGTTCACGTTGTTGTGCTAATGAGATATGGCAACTTGGATTGATGGATATATATATGCCTAGTTCTACGTTGTAGCTGACTGACTGACGAAGGAGAAATATATCTATAAGTTTGTTATATTTAAAATCTAGTCTTCTTTTTAGACAGTCTTATGTAAACGAATGACAGGAAAACTAAGATTTCTGTTTAGTTCATATTGAATATAAACCACAGTTACACTGGTTTGTATCATTCGAAAAAAAAACCAGTACGACCCAGGACCTTTGGTCTTGCGCATGAACACTTAACCTTTAGATCACTGAGCCTGTATCCAATGGTGTTAATGTCTAACTTCAACTAATCCACGAAATAAGGCAACACCGTTCACCATTGTCTACAGTTAGTAACTGTCTCACAATATATACGGTTGAACGCCACTGGTCATGGCTTCTCACTACAATTCCAGGAAATACCTGTTGAAGCCAGTCACTAGTAAGCACATGATGATTGTTATCAGAAAAAGTGTTTTATGGAGATTATATTAATTTCATAGTTTAATTCATGAGTCAATTAATAGTAGATCATCATGGGAAAACTAGAAGCATTGGACGGCTAGACTGAAGATTCTAGGTTCAAATCCTTTATACGGGATCGTGGATGCACACAACTGAGGAGTCTCATACTAAGACGAAATAGACATCAAATAGTATTTCCACGTTTTTCATGATAGTCTAACTTTAACTGACTCATGATCTCAACTATTGAAATTAATATAAACTCTTTTTTTTGTTTTTTTTCAGTATGGTCAGTTTGAGTATCAGATTGTCTAAATTCAATGTTCCAACATTTCATGAAAGTTCAACAATCCATATAGATATTTACTTCAGAAGTAAGTTGCTTTTATAATGAAAATAAAGTAATTTCTCATATTGGATAGGTGGCAAATAACCACTGAAGATAATAATTGACTTGTAATTACCATCTCAATATCAGGAGCTGAATATGAGACCTGAAGATATTAGGTTCGATATATGATTGGGTAGTGGATACACACTGCTGAGAAGTTTCATACCAGAACAAAACAGCTGTATAGTTCTACTTCATTTTCAATGTTTGACCAAATGAGATCTGTTATGATTTAAGGAATGTTTCTACGAAATGCTTGTAAATCTGAAGGCATCATGAGCTGTCACATCTGAAGATCCTGAGTATTGAATTTCATTGAATAATTTTGAAACTTAGATATTTATGAGCCAAACTAGTAATCACCACCTAATTCAAAGAAATCTTCTACTCTTAATCTTCGAATAGAAAACGAAATGAGGGAATTATAGAAGATCGTCTATTTTCATGGTTAGTTTATGTGCAGAAAACACAAATATCTATACCATTCTATTTGTCGTGGTAAAATTAGTGACAGACTAGTTGATTGTTTAGTTATGATTCTCCGTTTTCTAAGATTCTGTTGAAAGTCCCTGAAGAACACAGATCTTCTGAAGTGATTTCAAAGTTGTCCAAGCTTCTGTAGACATTTACAAGGAATTCATGAAGACTCTTAAGATCTTCAAGATGTAATAATAAAAAAGCATAAAAACCTAGATCTAACAGATTATAATTAAAGAAATAGAAATCCTCAGATATATTCAAAAAAACGTTCAAGTAGTTAGAAACAAACTAAAGAAAGAAAAGTTAACAGAACGTCTGTGACAATATCTAATCCATTTATAGGTTACTATAAACACCATAGTTACTGATTTCCAATATGAGTTTAATGGAATCAGTTTCAGATTTACTTAGGTCAAATTCAATCAATACACTTTGAATTAGACAATATGATAGTGATAATAAGAGGTTATACATTCCACCAGATCTGTTGTGAGATATCAGCTCACTGAAGACAAGGGTGTACGGTAGCGCAGTTTCGTGGATTGGTTGAAGTTAGACATTAACACCGGTAAATGCAGGCCGGCTCAGTGGTCTAGTGGTTAAGTGCCCACGCCCGAAACCAGTAGGTCCTGGGTTCGAGTCCTGCGGGGTACGGGATCATGGTTGCACAATGCTGAGGAGTCTCATACACGGACGGAACGACCGTCCAGTGCTTCCAGGTTTCCCATGATGGTCTAGCTTCAACTGACTCATGATTTCAACCTGTGAAATTTCTAAAAATCTCCACAAAACCCATTCTGGTTATACATTTGATGAATTCTTTCAGTTATAGTCCCTGTCATTGTAACGCTAAATGATGCGATTTAAATCTTATAGAAGGAAGAAGGTTTGTATTAGTTCTATGAAGAAAGTATAGAACATTGTTAACTTCTGTCAGATAACATAAAACATTGATTGAAGACATTTTAGCGGTTACCTTAAATGAAGTTACATTAGAATTTGATTAGTTCACAAATAAATAATTCAATTTTTGTATAATAATAAACACTAGACCTCAAAAGATACTAACAATATGACTTGAACACAACAAAATAATATAGAAAATGATTTGTTTATTTGTAAACCTCAAGTAGTGTCAAATTTTATTGCACTTACTTACACCTGTTACTCCAAATGGAGCATAGGCCGCCGATCAACACTCTTCAACCCACTCTATCCTGGGCCTTCCTTTCTAGTTCTATTCAATTGTTGTTCATTCTTCTCATGTCTAACTCCATTTCTCGATATAATATGTTCTTTGGTCTTCCTCTTCTCCTTTGATATTGAGGATTCTATGTGAGGGATTGCCCTGTGATACAGTTGGATGCTTTCCTCAATATGTGTCCTATCCAATTCCAGCGTTTCTTCCTCATTTCTTCCTCCACTGGGATCTGGTTTGTTCTCTCTCACAGTAGGTTGTTACTGATAGTGTCTGGTCAACGGATCCGAAGTATTTTGCATAGACAACTGTTATTAAACACTTATATCTTGTGAATGATGGCTTTCGTAGTTCGCTAGGTTCCCGCTCCCATAGAGTAGAACCGTCTTGACATTTGTATTGAAAATTGTGACTTTGGTGTTGGTTGACAGACAGTTGTTTTGAGTTGTAGATGTTCTTCAATTGTAGATATTCTGCTCTTGTTTTGATGATCCGCACCTTCATATCTGCGTCAGATCCACTGTGTTCATCAATGATGATGCCCAGATATGTAAAGGTTTTTACATCTTCCAAATCTTCTCCATCAAGTGTGATTCGATTGTTACATGCTGTGTTGTATCGAAGAATGTTGCTTTTATTGTGCTGGTTGGTAATAAATTCTTGACTAGTTCCATTTTCCAATTCTTGTTAGCACTTATTTATAAAAAACTGTAGAAAAGTGTTTGTCAAAAAAAATTAAGCCAAATAGATTATACGCAAATAAAGGTTTCGACAACGATACTCTTATCCTCCCCCGCCTCCTTCATATGTATGTTTCTACACTACTTATTTATTTGGACACATATATATTGGTACAAAGAGGCACCGAATACATATACGCCATACAAGCCACTTGATTTATGTGTGAGCTGTGATACTGATCGTGTGCCCAGACCGAAGCCGATGGTTTTCATAGGAGGCCACTACTGAAACCTTCAACCTAAATGTCTAATCAACAAGATAGTAGAGCAACATAAGAAGATATAGTTTCATGGTAACCGAAGATCAAGTATTGTTTCATACACCATTTATTCCTTCAGGATCCTAATGCTCATATAAACCATTGGTTTGAAATCAGAATTCTCCAACTCCTCGTAGGTGTATCCTCTATGTCTATCAATCCGATCAAAGCGCCGAATCTTCATATTTCATCTTTTCAATTTCTCCAACAACATCTCCTCCATGAAGAGGTAGTGAGAAGAACTTTATATTTCAATAAATTCTATTATTTATTATTTCAATATTCTTTTTTTTTCCTTTTTCATTTATATTAATTTTGTTTTATTAAATTAAATTCAATGTACAATAAATTATTATGCTGCTGATTAGTTTTTAATCTGTTTTTCCTTATGATGAATAAAACAAAACAAAACAAAATTTAAACTGTATCCAAGTTGCAAAAAAAAAAGAAAAAAAGAGAAAAAAAGTGGCAGTTTTTTTCTTATTTCAAGTTTGTTTCTAACGAAAAATGAAAATTAAAAAAAAAATAAAAAATTTTATTGTTTATAAACTTCTCTATTGAATAGTGTGTGTGTGGGGGGGGGTATACGTTTATATATACATAATAATAATAATAATAATAATAATAATAATAATAATAATAATAATAATAATAATAATAATAATAATAATAAAGGTTTGTTTTAATGAACTCGTTACATTGATTGATCATTGAATAACAAATAGTAAACTGATGTTTTATTTAGTTAGTTTCATTTCAATCTTGATTCAATGGTATAGAATATATTAGAATATTATAACTTTGAATTGAAAATATAAATGGATCGAGATCATGAATCGATTGATTGATATTAGATCATTATTGATCAATTTGAAAGTATTGTTTGACGGCCGTTTCTTCCTATTATAGGATTCCTCATCAGTGTAAGACAGTAACTTATGGTATCGTAATTTCGTGGATTGGTTGAGGTTAGACATGAATACCATTAGATGCCGACTCAGTGGTTTTGTAGGTTAAGTGTTCGCACTCGAGGCTAATACGTCTTGTATCCGAATCCCGCGGGGGGGGGCGATGTCGTGGATGCGCAGTGCCATTGAGGAGTCCCACAGTAGGATAAAACGACATTCCAGTGCTTCCAGGTTTTCAATGGTGGTCTAAAATTAATCGGTTCATGATCTCAATCAATAACTTAATAATCTTCACAACCCTATATTGAAGTGTAAATTCACTTGATATTGTTGTTTACTTGAAGTTTACCGGTGATATTTTTTTAAGATTGAAACTGATTAGTCTCTTGTTAGCACGTGTGCATCTTGCCTTGATATTATCTTGATTCAAAAGTATTCTAAGCAAAGATGGACTCAGTAGCTAAGTAGATTACGTAATGGTATTTGAAGTGAACAGTATTTGGTTCGAGTCCTAGAATGAATATCAACTATGAATTGCAAGTAAATCCAGCTGACAAGTTCCAAATAGAACGAAACGCGTGTCCTGAATTCCACTATTAACCACTATCCAACTTTGCATATAATACCTGTAAATTAAGGCAATACGCGACTTCGTAGATGATCTGGCCTTTCTATCGCAAACGCAACAACAAATGCAGGAGAAGACGAACAGTGGAGCAGCAGCCTCAGCAGCAGTAGGTCTCAATATACACAAAGGAAGAAGCGAGATTCTTCGATACAACACAGCATGTAACAATCGAATCACACTTGATGGAGAAGATTTGGAAGATGTAAAAACCTTTACATATCTGGACATCATCATCGATGAACACAGTGGATCTGATGCAGATGTGAAGGTGCGGATCATCAAAACAAGAGCAGAATATCTACAATTGAAGAACATCTACAACTCAAAACAACTGTCTGTCAACCAACACCAAAGTCACAATTTTCAATACAAATGTCAAGACGGTTCTACTCTATGGGAGCGGGAACCTAGCGAACTACGAAAGCCATCATTCACAAGATATAAGTGTTTAATAACAGTTGTCTATGCAAAATACTTCGGATCCGTTGACCAGACACTATCAGTAACAACCTACTGTGAGAGAGAACAAACCAGATCCCAGTGGAGGAAGAAATCAGGAAGAAACGCTGGAATTGGATAGGACATACATTGAGGAAAGCATCCAACTGTATCACAGGGCAATCCCTCACATAGAATCGTCAATATCAAAGGAGAAGAGGAATACCAAAGAACATATTACGTCGAGAAATGGAGTTAGACATGAGAAGAATGAACAACAATTGGATAGAACTAGAAAGGAAAGCCCAGGATAGAGTGGGTTGAAGAGTGTTGATCGGCGGCCTATGCTTCATTTGGAGTAACAGGTGTAAGTAAGTAAGTAAGAAGCAATATGCACAAAACACACGTATGCCAATATGAGACTGATCACTTGTAGTCCTAACACATCAATAGAAAAATTCAACTAAACAATACCAAGTAAATTCATCTTCATCTTGCTATTACATTATCCTACTGTTATTGATTATTCACAATCATCTTATGTAATACATAATCATAATAAGCTAATGAATTGATTAATTAGAAGCACTGAAAAACGGATACGTTCAACTATACTCAACTACTACTACTACTAATAATAATAATAATAATGAATTATTGAGCTATCACTGATCTCCCTCCCTCCCTCTCCTTCTCTCTCTCTCTCTCTCACACACACACACAATCTCGTTGTATCTATGTTCCTTTGTCCTATTCTATATAGATAATCTAATTATTGATAAATACATAATAAATGAGTTCTAATTTGACATAAAAGTCATGTCAATTGACTTATGAATATGATTTGTTGTTATGTAATGAATGAATAAACAATCTAGTGAATAGGATATTTGATTTACAATATGAATTCTGTTGGAATCATAAGTCGATCTAAATTATAGTACCATTGAAAACGTGGTGGAAGCATTAGACGGTTGTTTTGTCCTGGTGTTGGAGACGATAGATCCCCAGACTCATATTTTTATCTTATCGATCATCTTATCGATTAAATGTTAGATATTTTTATTGGGGTCAATTGATGAACTATCGATTAAATGCGCAAATAGGTCAGTTGATGAACTCGTTGATTAAAGTTTAAAAATTTTCTATGACAATATCGATTGTAAATATTTGTATAAATACGCTTGACTTGTATGCTTGATTTGATCTGCCTGCCTGACTGGTTATCTGCTGTTTGTCTGTAGAATACACTTTCTACACCTTACCCAGTCTTCTTGATCGAGTTACCAGAGTTGGGGACAACGAACCAGAATAGCTATCGAGTCGCTGAATCATTGATCCTTCGTTCGTTCGAGTAAGACGCATCAGTAATCGCATTCAAGCAATAACGAAACATAACATCTGGTATGGAATTCTTTAGCGGTGTGTATCCACAATCCTAGAACGTTTGGTTTTGTACATGAATGCTTAACTCTGAGACCACTGATCTGGCATTCAAAGATGTTAATGTCTAACTATAACGAATGAATGAAGGATTGTACATGATTATGAATTGATTAAATTTAGATATTAACACTGTTGGATACCAGGTCAGTGTTTTAGATTTTATGCATTTTTGCGTGAGATTAGAATTCATGAGTTGGATACCTAACTGTAGGATCGTGGATGCGCATCACTGAGGAGCCCTATACTGAAACAAAACGGTCATCTAGTTCTTTGAGGTTTTCAATGGTAGTCTAACTTAAATTGATTCATGATTTATGCTATGAATATACTACAATCTTTACAAATCTGTATACTGATAACACAAATGTAAACTCAACGTACTTGTAGATTGGTTAATGGAATGGATGTTAAACTTCTGTAAATTACTCCAGACCATTTCGTGTGACTTCTATCTGTTAAATCTTGATAAGAATGATGAATGGTAATTGTTGGGATCTATTTCTTATTGTATAATTATTAGATAGCTAAACTGTGTCTATTCATATTCCTCTTATTATAAGCTTTATTTTAACTCATAGATCATTAATATATGATTTACCGTTCTTGAGTTATGATCGATCTATTCATTACAGTCTCTCATATTCATAGCTACTTTTGGCTAAATCTTGTATAAATGTTATTTTCCATTTTATGGTATGATGTGATCTGTTTGGTTTGTATATAAACCCAGTATATTTGAAATACATGATTCATATCACAGATGGTGAGATGGGTGTTCGAGTCCCAGTATGAACATCAGCTCTGAGATTCAGGTACATTCAGCTGACGAGTCTCAAATAGGTCGAAATGCTCGTCAAACTGGATTTCTCTGCTACCCACTATCCATATTTGCTTATAGAAGCATTTAGCGTATGGTTCTCAGATTTTACATAGATGTTCTGTTATTTTGTGTTCAGATACATTCGATTGTCCTCGTTCACTACAGGGATAATCAAATATATTTTGAACACAAAATTACAGGATCTCTTAGTGAAATCAGAGAATAATATAGTAAATACTTCATTTTTAAAATGCCAATCAACTATCTCAAACTTAACTATTCCTCCATCTTCACATTAATCACTCTCTATTCTCATTCTCTTTTCTTCCATTTTCTTAACCTTCTTCTACCAGACATTTGAGTTTCGATTGATGATACACATACTACTGATATCGATAGATATCAGTAGTATACACTATAATATTATTTAAATGAATATGTAACAATCAGTTTAGGGGTTGTAGAGATTATTAAGTTTTTGGTTGAGATCATGAACCGATTGATGTTAGACCACCATTAAAAACTTGAAAGCACTGTTTAACCTTTTTGTCCTATTGTGGGACTCCTCAGCACTGCTCATCTACGATCCCACTCGGAGGATTCGAACACAGGGCCTTCAGTTTCGCATGCGAACGTTTAACCTACTAGACCATTGAGCCGGTCGGTATCCAATGATGTGAATGTCTAACCTTAACCAATCCACGAAGTTGCCCTTCAGTGCTTCCAGGTTTTCAATGATGACCTAACATCAATCGATTCATGATCTCAATCACAAACAATATGTAACATTTTCACTTGAAAAAAATAGAACTTTCATTGTTGTTTTCTTTATATATTTTTTGTTCATTTACAGATTTACTACTTACAATATTTATAAGTATATTCACTTTATATTTAACTTTATTTATCATCATCGAATATTGTTCATTTAAACAAACCACCAAATTAACCAATCAAATTTGTTTAAAATGTCAATCAACCAATCAAAATGTATATCATCCTCATCCTCATCGTCATGACGATGAGGAGGATGATTCATGTAATCTATTATCAATACAACAATATAATCAGTTGACATCATTTGAAACACTGCCACCAAATAATAATAATAATAATGGTGATGGTTACTATCCGAGATGTACACAGAGATACCATGATAGCAACAGAAAGAATTTTACTTACTCAAAATATGGTAAACACGATCTAGACGAAGCTTTCAGTAATAATAATAATAATGGGTTGAATTCATTTATCCCTCATAAATTAGAACACCATTACACATATGATCATCCAACATCTCTATTGCATACATCAAATGTTATGTATAAATGTGATAATCTATGTCGAACTAAAGCATATTTACATGATGAAAATATTGATGATAATGAAGATGGTGATAGAAATACAATTTGTATTCCAACTCGTAAGTGTATGTGTGTGTATGTGTTTCATTTTGTAATGGTTGAAATCATAAGACAAATGAAGCTAGATCACTATGAAGAAGCTGGAAGTACTGTTTGACGGTCGTATTGTTCTATTGTGGGATTCTTCAACAGTGTGCATTCACCATCCTTCCTGGCGAGATTCGAACACAGAACTTAACCGTCCCATGTGCGAACGCTTAAAATCTAGACCATTGAGCTGATGTTGATATCTAACTTCAACTAATCCACGAAATTGATCGACACATCCACCATTGTCTTCAATAAGTTACTATCTCACAACAGACCCGATTGAACTCCACTGATCACTGCTTCTCACTGGACCTTCAAGAAATACCACTTGAAGTCAGTCACCAGTCAGCATATGTTGATTAATATCTGAAGGGGTTTTAATGGATATTATAGTAATTTCAATAGTTGAGATAATAAGTCATTTGAAACTAGATCACCATGAAAAAGCTGGAAGTACTGTTCGACAGCCGTATCGTCCTATTGTGGGATTCCTCAACAGTGTGCATCCATGATCCTGCCTGGTAAGATTCTAACCTAGAACCTATCATTCCCACGCGCTAACGCTTAACCTCTAGACCATTGAGCTGGTCAGCATCCAACGGTGTTAATGTCTAACTTCAATAGAAGTATCAAAACGAAATGATGACAAGTATTTGACAATAATGTACGAAAGCACATTAATTACAGTGAATTGTTCAATGTATAGTTGAATCACTTTGTTATGACTTTCATGTACAATAAACCGCGTGATCTATATGCTAGGTTAATAGGACATATTGATTTAAGACTAAACGATCAGTAAGTGATACAATCAAAAACATGTTACTGATCAATAATTAACTTGACTTTCTAAGAGTCAGTCAACCAGTCAGCTACAATGTAGGACCATGCACATATATGCATCGGTCCAAGTTGCCATACCGAATTAGCACAACAAGATGAACACTGAATTCATAGACGTAGTTACTTCAATGGGGGTAATATACAAAAGAAAGATGGCATATAAGGATATAGTACAGGAAGAAAGAATTAGTTCGTAGAAAGAAAGATATGAAGTGATTTTAATCTCTTAGTTTAAAGGAAGACAGAGAGTGTATACACCGACGCCATTGTGATCGATTCTGAGCCATGTCACACAGAGTTTCCAACCATTGGTTACGATAGTCACGTGGACCCCAACCAAGTAGTCTGTATCTACCAACATGACTCAGACTAGAAGTTAATGACTTCAAGCAGTGATGCCACGTTTCGGTTTGGCCGCCCCTAACTTTCTTCTAACCATCTCCGACACCGGTTAGCATATATATACTATTGGTTATGAATTCAGCTCGATTTTCTGGGGGACATATATTAATGAATAAGCTTTTGAATATCTAATCTATGACCTTATTTCAAGAATTCCATTAACTTTCCATCATATGTAATTATCTTGAAAGAAAGAATAAATCATATAAAGACTCTTTCAGATAACCACTCGTCAGGATCTTAATTAACTTGTTGTTACGGCTTAAAGCACTAATATATATCACGTTCTGTGTCGCCAGTAGAACCGATGACCTTCTGGGCATCAATTGACACATTGATCAATGAACAACAATTCAAGATATTAACACTTCTATACAGTGGTTAACAAGACGATGAAGATAGAAAGCAGATTAGTTCTCTATTATACTCAATTCATTAAATAACTCAAAACACGCGTATAACTTGAGCACTGGAACGCTAGAATCCTTTCAATTCGCAATGGGAAAACAGAAGACAGGCTAAAGAAAAACGTTATTCCAGACAGTGTCAATTATAGTACAAGACTGTCAGGTATTTATAGTTTTTAGTAAGAAACGAAATCATTACAGTCCTCCAATCTGCATATAGGGGGTTAATAGCATTGTCCAATCGGGAAGCTACACATAAGGATTCTAGAATATTCTTTCAAAAAGTGATTGAATGGAATATCTTCGACTCTTTCTGAGTTTCTGAGCTTCACCCGTGGACCGTCCTCATATAAACACAACCTTATCAAATATGGTACAGAGCTAAACAGACCTTACATAATTATTTCTAATAACTAAAGGATAATAAAACATATAATGAAAGTTGATAGATCCATTGAAAATTTACGGTAAGAGGAAATGTATTTACACAGTTATCTATTAGTGAAGCAATAAAGATATAGGTAATAATAATAATCCGAATAATAACTTTAAAAGTCTCAACTTTCCCTATTTTCATCCCGTTATAACATCCTTAACAAGCATATGATACGTTTATAAAAGATACTCTGATAATAGACCTTGATATATTCAGAAAGTGTAATACATGCCCTGGTACGGTGGAGGGTGAGGAGAGTCCGTTCTCCCTCTCTAAATTCTCTCACATGCCCACACATATACAGTCACTGACAGGGAAGTAATACTCACTGACCTCTCGTGGCATTACTGTTGTTTACAAAATTGAAAGGACAAAAAGCGAGTGACCGACACTTTAACCGGGTTGATGTATATGAAGGATCCACCTAGGGGAGTTGAGAAACCCTGATTCCAAACCAATGATATACATGGGTTCCAGGATTCTGAAGGAACAAATGATGTATGAACCTATTGTTGGTCACCGACTACCATATTATTGCATTTCCTTATTTTGTCCCACTATGTTGTGGGTCAGATCTTTAGGTTAAATCCTCGGGCTGTGGCCCCCTAATAAAATCACTTGCTTCGGTCTGGGCACCCGGGCTCTCACACAGTAGCCAAGTAACGTGTATGGCGCATATATATTCGGTATCCTTTGTATCAATATTTACGTGTTCAAATGAATATTTAAATAAGTAGTAACACTTATGGTTACTTTTCAATAAAAAACAAAACAAACCTCATTAAGCTTATAACCTACATAAATGTCTGAAGGCCCTGGGTTCGAATTTCACGAGCAAAATCGTCAATACACACTGTTGAGAAGTCCCACAATAAGATGAAACAGCCGTCAAACACTGTATCCAAATTTTCACTAATAGTCTAACATCAATCAGTTCATGATTTCAATCAACAACTTAATAATCTCCACAACTCCTATACTGATGAATATATATTATTTGTTATTCAATACATACCTTTCTTCCTCTTTCCCTTTATTTATTTATTTATTTCAACACATGGATATTGGTACAAGAGAGCACCAAATATATATGCGCCAAACCATATTTGTGTGTGTGTGAGGGGGGCTGTGACACTGCCCGGGTGCCCAGACCGAAGCAGGTGGTTATCTTAGGGGGCCACACCCGGAGCCTTCAACCTGAAGGTCTAATCCACGAGGCAGCGAAGCATCGTGAGGAGATGCATTCCCATGGTAGCCGGTGACCAACAATTGGTTCATACGCCATTCGTTCACTCAGGATACTGGAGCCCATATACACCATTGGTTTGAGATCCGGTTAAAGCTCCAGACATTCGCTTTTTGTCCTCTCATTTTCGTAAACAACATCCCCGCTACGAGAAGTCAGTGAGTAGGACTTCCCTGGCAGAGGCTAAATACGCTTGGCCGTGTGAGAGCATTTCGAGAGGGAGGGTGGGATCACCCCACTCTCGAGCGTACCAGAGCATTTGGGGGCACTCTCTCTCTCTCCCTCTCTCTCTCTCTATATATATATATGTATATATATATACTACAGTTAACCTATTTATTTCAATTTATGATTATTCTAGATGTACATAGTTTATCTTTCCCAAGAATCGAAACATTCAATGATGAAAATATGAATAAAACAATTTTAATCACACCGAAATTAATTAATACCCCATATTCTTGTCGTACTTCTTCAACATCTTCATCATCCAAGTATAATTTACATTCATCATATTGTAAATAGACTATTCAATACTCCATTTATGTGAATTAATAATAATAATAATAATACAAATGACATTTGATTATTTATAACTCAGGTTACTAAATGATTAACTTGTCTTCTTACTTCTTTTTACCCTTGTACAATATTATATTGATGTATTGAAAGTAAAATCAAATCATTCTAATATTGAAACAGGGTGTAGTTTGTTTCTGAGAAATAAACCTACAGGGTGGAGTGGAGGGGGGTAATTGTTTCTTCTTAGTTTCAGTGATTAATGAGTATGTATGTTTTAAGTGATTTCATGAATCCTTATCAAACAAATAATTATTTCGATAGTTCAAATCATGAGTCAATTGAAGCTAGACCTGGAGGCAGTGAATGGTCGTTTCGTCCAATTATGGGACTCCTAAGAAGTGCGAATCCACGATCCCGCCCCCTTCTCACTCGGCTAGATTCGAACCGAGGACCTATCAGCCTCATACGCGAGCGCTTAACTATCAGACCACTGAGCTGGCCGGCATCCAACGGTGTTAATATCTAACTATAACCAATCCATGAGATTGCACCACCGTACACCATTGTCTTCAGTGAGCTGTTATCTCACAACAGACCTGTTATAACTCCATTGTTTATTTATTTTAAAAAAGATGAACTACTTATTAGTAATATATTTCTTGTTATGCAATTTTGACGTTATTTTATTTTAAGTAGAAAGATCATAAACAGTATTTACAATTGATTAATCATGTCAGGTCCTTCCTAGTGAAGATCGAATCTTATCAACCAAGTTGCAATGTGGCCACCAGTCTAGTTGGCTCGAAATCGCATGTATTATTTTGAGATACGATAGTGGTTAGAGGTAGTCAACAGGAAACCCTGAACTCAGGTTGCATGCTATTTGGCGCTAGTCAACAAGGTGTGCCTGTAATCTTCAGGGAGCTGATGCTTACTGACGGTTTCGTTCTAGTATACAAATTTGGAACAATTGTGTTAGGTTCTTTAAGCTTGAATGCTACTACTGATTCGGCTTATTCGGAACGGAACGAAGGATCAAGAATTCAGAGACTCGATAGGCTATTCTGATCCGTTGTTCCCGAATCAGCTGTATACTGGAAGGAATCATCCGAACGTGTTGAGAGAAGCACTTCGTTTCTCGCAGACGTAGCTTCCCCTTCTCCTGTTGTGTTACATAACTACGCGGAAATTGTGCTTTGGATTTCTCCGCTACTTTTTCTGGTTTAAGAGTCCTTAATCTAGGCAATGGGTCTTTTTCTTCCTTCTTACGATGTTTATTTACTTTGGCTATAAACTTCTGATGGTGATACTGACGCTTGGCTGACACCCGTTTTCGCCGAAACACAAATTGGCACTCGACTCCAACAATGATAAAACTCATAATTTCTAATATAAAAGCCACCATGTTATTCAATTCAGATTATTGAGCTAGCATCTAATAGTTCATATCTTTAACTTGAGTTTTATGTAAAGTATGATTGAACTTAGATGGCTAGATGTTTGAAAACTACCCTTTGAAAGAATAACCATCCAAATAGTTATTATACCTGTTTGTATTTATCATCATAGACTACATTATTTATTATTTATTTATTTGAACACATAAATATTGGTACAAGGAGCACCAAATACATATGCACCACATAAATCACTTGGCTTGTGTGTGGGCTGTGATACTGGCCGGGTGCCCAGATCGATGCGCATAGTTTACTTAAGGAGCCACAGCCGGAGCCTTTGACCTAATGGTTTGATCCGCGAGACAGTGGAGCAACATCAGAAGATGCATTCACATGGTAGACAGTGACCAACAATAGGTTCATACACTGTTTGTTCTTTCGGGATACTAGAGTCGATGTACACAATCAGTTTGAAATGAAGGTTTTCCAACTTCATATCCACTAACCTAGTTTAATCGCCAAACACTCGCTTCATAATCTCTCAGTTTCGTAAACAACAGTGATGCCATGAGAAGGCAGTTAGTAGGACTTCTCTGGTAGTGGATATATATTTCTGGCCGTGTGAAAGTATTTGGAGTGGGAGAGCTAACTCTCCCCACTCTCGACCATGCCACGGCATTTGAGAACTAAAAAAAACCCAACTTATAGTATTTATGTTGAGATCTTGCCAGTCACATCCTTACTAAGGCTAAAAGGATTTTCAAAGTATAAGTAATTAGATGAATACTTAAAAAATACTCCTCCTGGAGCCTCTCTGTGGCTACTACTCGTCTCAAGTCTAGACAAACAATAAGAAGTAGACATGGAGTTAGCCATTCCATCCCATACGATTACCTAACACAGGTAATTGAACATGATCGTGTAATATCGTAAATTGATTAGGGTAAGTAAGATATAACTACAATTCATTAGTCACTTATCGGTTTAGAGATTAGGTGTTCGACTAGAGACCTAAAGTTTTGAATTTGGTTCACCATAATGATATCGTGCTTGTTCACTGATGAAGAATCTCATTGCAGAATGGAACAGTTATTTAATGATTTCGAATTTTTATTGGTCATTTATCTAAGACCAGTTCCTAAATTAAACAATGAAAACTCCATAATCTCTTTTAAACCCAATACTTAAAGCATAGATTTGTTGGATTGTTATTGAGTGTAAATATCACAATATTATCATCAGAGATGATGATGGTGGATAGTAGTGGAATCCAAGACTCTATTTCGTCCTATTTAGGACTCGTCAGCTAGATGTATCTGCATCCCTCAGTTAGTGTTCACTCATACACTACGTTATCCACTCTATTACTGAGTCCAGATTGCTACTAGCTTAGGTAATGAGATCAAGTTTAATTCATTGTTGTATTGATTATTTGAATTATCCCATTGATGTTTAGAACTACAATTGAATAACGTGATGGAGTTTGTATCGAACGGCACTGGGTTCGAGTCCTGGAGTAAATTTAAATAATCATTAAGAAAAATGAACTACAATATCATGTCTAAGTAGGTAAACTTTGAATAATTCACCCTTTTGATTGATTAAACTAGTAGTGAAATTTGACTTACTGTTACGTGTAGTTGATTTAAACATGTACCACTCTGGTCAATCAATTAACGAATTAAGATTGTAAGAATGTTATGTTTTACAAAATTACATTGATCTAATTTATTTTCGTTTGTTACTATACAAGTAACCACCTCAGCTTCAATTGTGCAAAACTGTTATAACTTGTGACCTGTTTGTCCCTGTTTATTGTATAACATAATGATACCGCTAATTACTGAATAGCGAATTATCGATCAGACCAATGACACATAGAACATGTACGAGTAGTCTAGAGTCTTTATTGGTCCTGCTTTCCGCCTAGACCAGCCTGTTAGAGTCCAGAACACCAATCTCAGCCGCTGCGATACGAGTCATTTATTTCAAACATACTGAGTTTATATTACCAACCAGACAGACTACATCGTACCATAAAATAGGAAACAACATTTGTACAAGATTTGGCCAAATGTGGCTGTGAATGAGGGAGGTAGTAATTGATAGAGTGGGCATAACTCAAGAATGGTAAATCGTATCATAATAGTTCATAAGTCAAAATAAAGCTTATGATAAGAGGGATATGAATATGCATAGCGTAGCCATTTAACAACTATACGATAAAAGTATACGTACAGTATTGGTCCATAAATGGATCCTAAAAGTTACCATTCATTATTCTTATCGGGGTATAACAAAAACATATTTCCATGGAAGTCTCCAGCAGTTGAGCGTTTTGACTACCTTGTCGTTACACGTTTAATTATCTCTGTATGACCATGTTCTTTTTAATTCGGGATATAAAATATTCATGACAAGGTGTATCTAGTAAGTAGGGTAGGTTATCTTATATGCTTGTCGAAACATGGACGATTAACCTTCAGAGAACTACTATTGATTCTGTAGGTTCATTGTTGTGGCACAATAGTCATCAAAGAATACTGTGAAAGTTCGGTGATGCACAGTGTTGTACTACGTAATGTCCGAAATCTGACACTGATATACGGTCTGTTACGCGCTAGCCCTCCAACTGACTACGTGAGCGAGAAAGTGTATTGTACAACCGATTAAAATGTACTAATACTCATTCATATATATATAGCACCCTAATCCTTAGAAAATTAATCCATTGCTTAGTCAATGAAATGCACTTGCATTCAACATGTTTCGAAGTACTACGGAATTCTTCATCAGTGAACAAGCATGACATCATTATAGTGAACCAAATCCAAAACTTTAGGTCTCGAATCGAACACCTAATCTCTAAACCAATGAGTGACTAATGAATTGTATTTATATCTTACTTACCCTTATCAATTTACGGTATTACACGATCATCTTCAATTACCTGTGTTAGGTAATTGTATCATATACAATATAGTTGATCTCTATTTATCATAATTTCTTGTTGGAAATTCAATAATCGAATCTTAAAGTTAATAAACCTTTTAATCTAGACGTTAAGAGTTCGGTACAAGACTGAAAGTTTTAAGTTCAATCTTCTCTGCTATGGTTATAAATTAGTACTGCTGATGAGGCTTTTACTCGGACGAAACAGTTACCCAGTTTTTTTCTTTTTAATTAGTGATCTAGTTCAAATCAGATCATAATTAAAACTGATGTAAATGTTTAGGTCTTTACAAACTTCTTATATGAGACATAGAATAGTTGAAATCATTTATTGAATAATAATTAATGAATGTTTCCAAGTATTTGTTTCATGAAACATACATTATTAGTTAAGGTCATAGACATACAGGATCAATACAGTTTCATTAAAATGAGTTACAATGGTTGATTTGATTTGAACTAATTCAGACAAATTAGTATAGTTACATGATTATTTACTTACTTACGCCTGTTACTCCTCGCGAAGGAGCATAGGCGGCTCACCAGCATTCTCCATCCAACCCTGTCCTGGGATAGTTACATGCATAACTGTACATAATTCAATGTATCATATATATACAAAAGGACATGAACTCAATTCGTTGAATGGTTCTT